ACCCCATAACCCCATAAAAAGCCCATAGAAACCCCATAGAGACCCCAAAATGGCCCCACAACCCCAGAGAGACCCCATAACCCCATAGAAACCCCATAGAAACCCCATAAGGGCCCCACAACCCCATAGAGACCCCATAACCCATTAGGCCCCATTGGGGCCCACAGCTGCCATTAAGACTCATTAAGCTCCATTGAGTCCCATTAGGCCCCGTTAGGCCCTGTTAGGCCCCATTCAGTCCCATTAGACCCCATTAAGGCCCACAAGGCCGCCATTAAGGCCCGTTAGATCCCATTCAGTCCCATTACGGCCCCATTCAGCCCCATTAGACCCCATCGAGGCCCACAGCTGCTATTAAGGCCCATTAAGCTCCATTGAGTCCCACTAGGCCCCATTAGGCCCCGTTAGGCCCTGTTAGGCCCCATTCAGTCCCATTAGGCCCCATTAGGCCCCATTAAGCCCCTTTAGGCCCCACTGAGGCCCGCGGGCGCCGTTCCCGCCGCTCACCTTGGTCGGCCCGTTGCCGTGCAGCACCACGGGGCGGCTGCCATAGCGCTCATTGCGCAGCTCCGGGCGCCCGGCCTCGAAGTGCAGCCGCACCTCCCCTAATTACCAACGCCCGACAATTAATTAACGACCTGCCGCCGCTCCTCATTACCGCCCTGGTTTAATTAACGAACCGCCCGGTGCCACTGCCCCTAATTACCGCCCTGCGTTAATTAATGTGTCACCACAGCCCCTGATTACCGCCCTGCGTTAATTAATGAACTGCCTGGCGCCACCCACCCCTAATTAGCACCTTCCATTAATTAACAAACCGCCACAGTCCCAATTCATAACCCCCCCAATAAATTAATAAGCCCAATTAACCCCCCCAATATATTATTCACTCCAATCACCCCCCAAATATCAATAATAACCCAAATTCACCCATCAATAATTAACCCCAATTAATAACCCAATTAATTAATAGCGCCAACTAACCCCCCCATTAATATTTTTCTCCAATTAATCGTTACACTCCAATAATAATTAATCTTAGTTACCCCTCAAATAATTAACAACCCAAATCAATCTTCCCAGTTAATAATTAATCCCAATTAATAGCCCCCCCCAGTAAACTGAGAAGCCACATTAACACCCAATCAATAATTAGCCCCAATTAATAACCCCCAATAAAGTAATCACCCTGATCCTCCCCAAAAC